ACTTCCAGGAGGGACCATGCGTCGGCACTTGTGGTGCACTTCAATTCCTTACACCGTACACCGTCTAATATTCTGAACTGCGATTGTTTCTATAGCCATGCCAAGTCCGGTCCCTCAAGGCCATATATTTTCGTGTTCGGCTTCTCTGAAAAGATTTCGTTTTTAGGGGAGGATGAAAAGCTTTCGGTTCTGATGCCTTCGCACGTCGTATTCACACCCCTTGAAATATGTTAATTACCCTCGTCGATTTTGACACCGGCCAGTTCAGATTGGGTCGCTGCCGCCGTTTTTGGTTGGTGGTTTGCAACATCTCGACAGCAGTGCATAATGCACTGGCTACCCTGTTCAAATGTTGGTGGCGCTTCGACAGTTGCCTAATGTTATCCCAGCAAATGATAAAAGGGACTTTTGAACAATGTTGCTGTTGCGTGAAATCAGCCATGATTATGACACCACGTAATCGGCATCAGAACCCATCGGACTGAATTTATTCCTTAGTACACGTCAATGTCTAATGAAATAAAATATACTTGTCGAACCATTTTAGTTTCATTAGTGCAACCATCTGATAATTGAGGGGTACGGATCTTGCGCACAATCGTTTTCCACACTCCTTTAGGATTGCCTATATTGCTTCGATAGATGAATCTTGCTGTAGTGACCAGTCCACTTGATTTGTAGCTCAGGTAAGTTCATGGAAGCCAGTTTACAGTATTCCTAGGATGACTGCTACGGAAGCGAGTGTGACAGCAGCAGCTTTCGCCAAGCTAGGGCCACTGGATGTTCACTAGGTATTACTGGATTCATGCCTCACACTCCATGACAAGTTGTTAGCAGCTCGTCAACTTCAAATTCATACATGAGGGATCTGATTGCGGTTTGGTGCGAGTCCACCAGCAGACGTGTAGTGCTGCCCCAATCTCAGATATCATCTCCGCACTCTCTGCTTCCAATTCACAAGGCCTGTAGGGAATTTGAACCCCTGTTCAATTTCTTTGACGTGTCAAAAGCACGTATGAGCTGAAAGCGATTACGGTTCATTTTGTCTTGGGTATTTTGCAACTAGTGCAAACGGCAGCTTCACCTAAAACAGTAAATCTCACCCACCCACATTTCGCCAACACTCAGGTGGATCGAGCTTTAGGGCACACGTAGAACATCCGCATTTCTTTTGGTAGCAGCAGTCTAACGAAATAGGAAAACAAATCTATACCAGCCCGTCACCATGATCTGTTGTTGTTCTGTCGTTGTGGGAGTACGATTAGCCGCTCAGCTGTACATCCCGTGGAATTATATCGGAAGTTAAAAGAGTCCCAGAGAGTCCCACCGGCTACCGGAAATTAACTAATGGGCAATACTTTTACGCTTGTTAAGTCATTCGCAACTACTGAATGTGTCATGACCGGGGAACAAACGGTTGAGCGTGAATCCTCAGTGATCTATTTACACAGTTTCCATGGATACTTAAAGTACCAAAAATTCTAGTACGATGGCATTTTAAGGTTTTCCAAATTGGTCGGATCCGTATCTGGGCGATAAGGAATATTTAAACATTCAAGTCTGCCAAGGCGGGGAACTCAAGTCAAGTCAATAAAATGCTTAATACACCAACAACGCTTGAATATTCAGCCGTAAACAGACTGGCTTCATCAAATAAATGCAACGTACGCGCTGGATTCTTCCATCACCTTTCTTTCCAAAATGGGTGATTAGATTTGACCTAAACGCTTCTTTATCTACTTTAGGATTCTTTTACCATACAAATACTGTAAAATTCCTTCTCGTGCTCATTGCGAAACTGATTTTGATTCAAGTGTCCAAGCTGATGGAATAAAATGAGATTTGATAAAATCTGTTCAAAAGCCACTGCACTCAGCTTTCTTTTTATTTCTGTATTCTGCTGGAATTAACTCCTTAGGCGGCCGCGCACTTGCAAATAGATCCGATGAGCCTCCAGTAGCTGGTAGACACTGCTCCGGACTCATTTATGCAGAAGTAGCATCTCATATTTTCACCGCCTAATTGTTACGAATTCTTATTTTGCTAAGGTGGTTTATGTGAAGGTAACATTCAGTCTACAACAGCGTTGTCACTAACCCTTTCATCATTTGCTGGGATAACATTAAGCAACTGTCGAAGCGCCATCAACATTTGAACACGGTAGCCAGTGCATTATGCACTGCTGTCGAGATGTTGCAAACCACCAGCCCAAAACGTCGGCATCGACCCAATCTGAACTGGCCGGTGTCAAAATCGACGAGGGTAATTAACATATTTCAAGGACACATGCACCGCAATGCGTCCGCACGTCGTATTCACACCCCCAGACATGCGTGGATGAGTAAATACAGTAGACTTACATGCCATTGGTGGGTCGGCAAATTAGTGCGCTCCAATCTACCCCTGACCTGCGCGTCGACTGAGCAAAAACGAAAGACTTCTCAAACGTACGGTATTCGCGTGTTGAGTCAAAATCCAACAAACATGAAGGTAGCGTTGGCGGATTGTTAATGGAAACATGTAAGATCACCGACAATGCTATTGTTGGTGCCAAACATGACCAGTGTTTGGTAGATTCACACCAGGTTAAACATTTGACGTAATGAGCCAAAATCCTAGATTGCTTGTGGGCCTGATTTCAGTGAACAGGGGACGGAATTGACAGCCCGGCAGGTGATCAGGAATCAGGTTGAGAGTTGGTCACCTTTGTACGGCAGGTACTTAGGGATTTCGTCGACCGCATACGCACGCTTAGTGAATGTAACCGTCAAATGAGCTCCACGCCACGCAGCGTTCTACAGAATGTGCTTGTTAGAAAGGATTAGGTAAAGCTCATGGTTGTAACATTTTGACTGTAGGTTGTAGTGTTGACCACATAATCCCTGTGTTGGCGCTGCTAGATTGGAGGCTGAAGAGTGACAAACTGTGTGGATTGATGGAACAAAGTGCAGCCCAATTTTCATGCGCACCAGGAGACGTTCAATACGTGGTACTGGTGTACAGTGTGAAGTGGCTAACACTCTAAGGCAGAATCCTAATCTTATTGCAGCGATAACAACCAACGGTCTTATAGGGTAGGGTATTATGAGAGGCAGTTACAAGAAGGAAAAAGGCACGGGGTGGATGCCTCGAACGCTGGGTACCAAGCGTTTCATTTTTATCGGCATTTGGCTCCTCATCTGTGATAACGCACCATGACATGGGATCTGGAAGGCACATTCCAAGAGGAACCGTACCGTTCAAGCAGCCTCCTGCGTCTTTCCGCTTATTCGCCGTGAGGGGTTTTATCGCTCTTGCACTGCAGTTTCCTGACTTGCAACTTACTTATAGTTCCCTAACATGATTTTGTAAAATGTGAACTGGTCTTGTCACTTTTTGCATCCTGAAACGATTATGCCGACATTCAAGGATAGACGATGGCGCTTAAACAATAGTGATGGCGTTGGGAAGTCGTGCATATTGCTTCAGGTTTGTCGTTGCCAAATGACTACAGTGCATCCGGATAAATCGTAGCAATCCGCGTGGCAAGTACTGTGTAGTGATTGTTGCTAGACCAGGTTGTTGAGAGTATTTGACTGATTGACTTGTGACGTCATTTGTGTAGCCAATTCCAGCCATCACGAAGACCTTAATACACCGCTCACCTTGAACACACGGACGTACTCATCTGTGTCTAAGATACGAGTCTATTCGGGCGTGCTTTGGCAGATGCCGATGTCGTCGTGGTGGTGGTGGACAATGGAAAACGTGGCTCGCTGCAGTGAAAGTGAATGTTGATCTACTGGGACTCCAGGTTGTGCATGGTGCTCGTCACTGGAAATATCTTTGCATCAATATCTGAGTGGAGTTTGCCGCCGATCGCCGCGCTTAGGCAGCTGCAATCCGCGACATTCATGAAGCCGGCTCATCCTGTCGTAAAAGCTAATCGCAGTAAAGTAAGCGCGAATTCACAACTTTTGCCTTCAATCTCAACTCGCGTGTGTGTATGTCTAGAGGCTATATTCTTTCGACTGTATTCATCCGAATTCATTTGACTACCCTGTGCATGAAGGTAGCATCGGTGGAAACTTTTCGTTAGTTTCGACTTGGAGTCAAAACAGCTAGGACGTATTGTAAGAACGGTAATCAAATTCTGAACTTAAGTATAGTATTTGGAGGTTTCGAGATCTGATTACGAAAGGCAGGGTAGACGGAAAGTATAATTTTTCCTTTATCATCCGGTTGCTTTCTGGTTTCAAGCACACGGCATTTTGATGAATATCAGGCGACAAGCCGACACTATGTCGTGTTCTATGGAAACACTGACTGATTAATAGGTAAGCAGAGAAAGCAACTAATTACGTTCAGCCTTTCCGGATGGATATCATGAGCGCTAGTAAGTAAAGAGCAAGCAGCGCGTCAAACTATGAAACAATCTCCGATCTAGCGGCAATTGGGAATTCGGCACTTCGTTTTCGTTTAATAATAATACTTCACCGAACAAACTCACAAATTCACAGTAATACTAACAAATTCACACAACAGGATTACTTGCACATGTACCCACATACATACTACACAGACATACACACATGTAACCAGTATGTACTGATTAAATCGTAGCATTTCTGAGCCATTACTGGTGTTACTCGTGTGTATCACCATGATCGTGCCTTTGAAGGCGTGTCTCGCACCGTCGAGAATGAATCGTTTATTTATTTATTTACAAGTAACATCGAATTGAAGTTTGGTATGTCATGGTTGGCATGACTCTGGCTTTCTTCTTTGTAACCTTTCACATTATTTTGTTGGTTGTTTCTACTCCGACCATGGGATTGAAAATAATGGATCCACAGCAACTAGTTGCATGGGCCCGCTCTAGTTTATCCCAGCACTATGTCGTTATGAGGAAATCTTATGTTCCTACACTTGTGTGTAAGATGTGGAAACGCCTTAAAGACCAGAAATTGTACGAAAGCAATAACATAGTAAATGAGACGAAAGTTCTTTGACAGACGTACGTGATCTTCAGGCATCTGACCGGTCTCCGCTGGATCGTTTGGGTCTATTTTCAGATCTGTGATACAGGATGAAGTATGGACATTCCATGGTATCGTTTGTGAGACGGTCTGTCCGAAGAACGGGTCCGGTTGTCCGTCATGCCCAACGGAACTTAAGATGAAAAGATTGCAACCAGAGAAGTGATAAAACATTTGTCAAGTTTTTCCTTAAAATTAACATCAACATTTGAACGGTGAATGTCCAGACAAATAACGTATTCGTAGTACACTTGGGTCGGTAGGCCGAGAGAAATGATCAGGACCACCGTCTTACATTTGAATTGGATTGCAGCACACAGTAGGTATGTCATCATCATTACACACATTAGCTAGAGGTGGGAAACACCTCAGGTACTGTGACGCAATATATAAAGGAAAAGGAAAATAAATACAACAGTTGCCTGCCAGCTGATCAACCAACAACGCATAGGCATCGTTCCGGTAAGCTACCAGGCGGCTACTAGGCAAAAAGAAAAATTATTATGTTTTAAGCTACAAACTGAGATCGTAGATGGAGGGGGAGGCCAAAAGGGATGGGGAGGGACAAAGAAACTCACAGCAGGAACGCCACTGAGATCGGCTCCTTGCCATGTCAGCAAGTGTATCCAGCCAAACGTGTTCATCGTCTTTTGGACCCAACCAGCGAGCCGTGACGCTCCAACCGAGGCCAGCTCGGAAGTGAGGGCCTTCATTTCTCTCGACCAAGTCATAGCTTGGCCACCCCTTCTCTTCTTCCATCCACATCCCCGCTGAGCAAACAACGCACGTCGTGGAAGTCGGTGGGCTGGCATGCGCAACATGTGGCCCAGCCATCGGAGCCTGGTGCGTGGAATGACGGTGCTGAGCGGTTCAGTCCCTTTTCCTGTGCCATATACAAGGCGTCGAATATGCTCGTTACTCACGCGGTGTTCCCACCAGATGCGAGCCAAACTGCGAAGGCACCGATGGTCGAACGAAACTAGCCTCTTCATGTCCGCCGATCTTAGGGGCCAGGTTTCGCAACCGGACAGTAAGGTCGAACGTACCGCTGCATTGCACACTCTTCCCTTCAGGGCGACAGGGATGTCGCGCCGCCGCCATAGGTGGTGACTCCTGGTAGGAGTAACTCTCAAGGTGCCCGGAGGCATCACCCAGTATAGCTCAATGGGTCAATGAGGTACGCAAACCGTCGCACTACGTTAAGGTCCAGTCTCGTTGCGACGGACAGTAGATATGTGGCTTGGAATAACTTATGAAGTGAATGTCGGTCAATGCGCGTATCGGGACGGCATGTGAAACGGGTAGATAGTGCTTCTTATTCGCCACCCTGTCTTCCAACACCTGCTTCGTGCCTGCTCGCACTCGTCAGTCGGGAATGATCGTCAGCCTTTACAGCACCGGACTGCGGCGGTAGTTTATCACAACGGGTAGAGGGTTACAGTGACAATCGTGACTACATTGTAGTGGTTTTGGGGGTAACGATGTTAGCCAGTAGTCTCTTAGTCTTGTGTTCGCGTAGCAATAGTGATATCTCTACCTAATGACCGCAATCAAATGATCAAAATCACTGGATGGGCAGAAAGAGGAGACACTATCAAAAGCGTGCCATAACGTCATCTCTGGTGTAAAACGAGACCGACGCTAAACACTTGTGTCTCACCCAATCAAGCACACGATAATGCAGCCGTGGCAATGCTTAACGCCACGCATGTCGTCGGGTAGCTCGAATTTCGCAAACAACGATGTGGTGCCTGGAGCGTGACACGTGCCCGTTATGGCTAGCAACAAGTGCAATCCAGCGGGCAATCACCTAAGTTGCAGGAGGTTTAAACACCAAATCATCACAGGGAATCAGTTGCATGAACTTAACGAACGTCTACTGAGCACAGAAAGAAGACATGTCGCGAAATGTTAACATTTTAATTGCTCTCCTCAGACGCAAATGCAATACAATTAGGAATCAAGTAGAAGCGAACATGTGGAACCCAAATTGAAGCAGAATTGTCAATCAAAACCAAGGCAATCCAGCAGATTGCTTCATTTGTTTCGGTGCACATAACACCGGGTGATTCTTCGTGATAAGTAATGCCTCAGTGATAGCCAGTCTTTTTGGGTTCTGCTCGCTCACCATTATTTTGAACGCGGTCGATTGATCCGCGTGATGACTACTGCGTACGAGATGCCTCGCAATGGACGAGGCAGGACTGCGATTTATTAGTTTATCCGCACCAGTTTGTTGCACCAAGGCTTGCCGTATCCAAGTTGGCAGGTATCCCGTCATCCTTAGGCCCAGTGTACGGCCATTCCTGATTGTATACACGTCACCACAACTGCAGCTGAACTGGTAGACTACCTGTGTGGCCGTATTGCCTGACAGATCTTTCGGTCGTCGCGCGCTGTGAAGTCGTTGCAACTAGAAGGTGGTGTGGGTACGCGAGAGTTCAGACCTGATCTCATGCCTAATGCCATTGGTCAAATGATCTTTAACCGGTAGAAACAAGTGCACATCCTTTTGCTCTGCACTTTGAACCGTTGGTTTCTCCTTCGGCGGTCGATTATGAACCTGGATGAACCTGTCCGGGTAATACAAATTCGTCTGGCTCCGTAGAAGTGGGTTTTGACCAGACCGTGTTTGTAAGCAACTGGAGCGAAGCTAGAGAAGTGCAGATACTGCCAATTCCAAAGCGCTTTTCGAAAGACGCGCTGAAGTGTGTTATCAGTCCGCCTCCTAATGAGCACATACACAAACGGTAGACTGCCTTGTGGTTCGATCTGATGTGTCACAGAGCGATGGAGTGTGCGGACTTAAAGAGGGCAACAAGGCGCTCCACGGGCTCGCTACTACTAAAGACTAGTATGTCATTCAAATATGTTTGCAGAGTTTCGCTTCTCTGAGACTGGCAGCAGTTTTCCCAATCAGGCCCAGAAAAATATCCGCCGATACTGGTTCTAACGGCTGTCCATTGCAACACCACACTTTGTTTGTACGTAGTCCCTTCAAAATAAAACCGTACATTCTGTGTACATAGCAGCATTAGATCACTCAAATACTCCAAGGGGAGACCTATGGAGAGCTTTTGGCTCTGAAATAATCGTCAACTGTCTCACACAGTGACACAGTGGTGAACGATGAATCCACATCTATCGAATACTTCAGTTCGGCTTCTAGCTTCGATCGCTCAAGTAAATCAACCAGCTCAAAGGAAACTTTTAAGCAATAGTTTGACAGCAGGCTACGAACAAGTTCCCACAGTTCTGCTAACCATCATCACCATCAGTAAGACGTTAGCTGCAGGTGGAAAGACACCTCAGCTATTGTGCCGCAATACAAAAGACAAAAAGAAGAAAAAGCCACAGAGGCAAGCCGGCTGAGCCCCAGTAACCGATGGACTTCGTTCCGGAGAGCTAACAGCCGGCTGTCGTGCCACAAAAGGAAAGTTATATTACGCCTAACGAATGAGATCGTGATTGGAGGGGAGGCTAAGCAGGAGGGGGTGGACAAAGGAAGGCACAACATAAACGCCATTGGGGCCGGATATTCGCCACAGCAGAAAGTGTGTCCAATCAAACGTGTTCATCATTCTTAGGAACCCAGTCAGGACGTCGGGATACAACAACCAATACCAACTTCGAAGTGAGGGTTTTGATTTCTCTCGACTGAGTCATCGCTTGCCTTCCCTCTTCCTCTTCCAACCGCACCCCCGGCGCGCAAACAATGCACGACGCGGGAGTCAGTGTGCTGGCATGCGCAACACGTGACTCAGTCATCGGAGCCTGGTGCGGGACATAATGGTGTTGAGCGGTTCACTCGCTCTTCCTGTAACAAATAGGCGACGCCGAACACGCTCATTGCTCACGCGATACTCCCACCAGACATGAGCTAATCAGCGAAGGCAGCGATGGTCGAACGTGACAAGTCTGTTTATGTCTGCCGACCTGATGGGCCAGGTTTCACAACCGTATAAGAGGGTTGAACGGAAGGCTGCATTATACACTCTACCCTTCAAAGAGAGAGTGATGTCGTGTCTGCGCCACAGTTGGCGGAGATTGGCAAAAGCAGCTCGAGCTTTTTCTACACGGTTCGTAACCTAATCTTCGATCCCAAGGGTGCTAGTACAGCTGCCCAGGTACTTTAATTCCTGAACGACTTGTAGCTCATCACCAAGGGGCAGAGCAGGCGTGGGTCCCTGCCAATCTTGGAGTAGAACTTTGCGTTTCGATGGGCTAAAGCATAGATTAAAACGATAGGCAGCTAGTGCTAATCGGTCCAGTGCAGTCTGGCACCTTTAGGTGCTGTCAATTATGAGAGCAATATCGTCCGTACACTCTGTCAAAAAGTCGTTCATCAGGAAGTAGCTCCACACTTTCTAGGTCGTGTCCAGCGAATGTTGTTTTCCATGACTTCATCAATAGCGAATTTAAAGAGGAAAGGTGACAGCGGGCAACCTTGTCTCACACCGATGGTGATACTGAAGGGTGGCGACAGTTTGCCATAAACCCTCACTCTGCCCGAACTATGCGCGTACAGCGCTTTGATAATGTCTACATATTTATCGGGCACACGTTTTCTCACCAGACAGTCCTTCAGAGCGCATCGATCCACCGATGCCGAGAAACACGACAACGATGGGGTGCCAATAAACATGGCAGTGCTCCAATAATCGACACAAAGTGAAGATATGGTCGATGCAGCCTCGATTTCTACGAAACACGGCTTGCTCTTTGCGGATCTGGCCTTCACGAGCGTCAGTCAGTCTGCGGAGAACGACAGAGGCAAGTAGTTTAGAGGCAGTTGAGCTCAGACCGATCCCTCCACGGTTGCCGTATTCTGAACGGGAGCCTCCCTTGAACCTTAGAACTATGACGGAGTGGCTCCAGTCTGCCGGCACAGTCTCCTGCTCCCAACGTTCGATTAGTAACTCGTGTAAATCATCCACAAGAGCAGGTCCACCGAATTTTTAGAGAGCTGAGTTAATGTTATGTGCACCAGTAGCCTTATACAATTTCAACAGTCTGATCTCACGTTCGACTTCTGCGCGTGAGGGCGGATCTAAGGAGACCGCCCATGGATAAAGGCACTCAGCGCCCGAAAGAGAAAGCGATAAGTCAGATTGGTTAAACTGCCTTACAAAGTGTTCTGTCCAATGCTCCAAGCGTTTTGTCAGGCTCTTTAACGGCTGTCCACTCTTGCAGCCTATTGTCTCGCTACCACCAGGTCTCCTGCTGCCTGTTTCCCGTATCAGAAGGAATAACACGATGATTACCAACGACAGCGGCTGTTTCCATCTCCGAGGCATGATGAGACCACCAGTCTCAGCGGTCTTTCTTCAGGCCAGCACGCAGTTTTGACCTGAGATGTTTGCGAGCATCATTGCATTCGCTTCCAGCCGGAATACCTCGACCAACATCCATAAGTTACAGAGACTTTGTAGAGACCCAATGTCTAGGTTGGCAATTTGATTTGCCACATGCCTGCTGATAGTAACGTTTGCCGAATATGCGATCAGCAATATTCGACGGTGTTTAGTGGAAGCTTACTTGGCCCGGATGTCAGCGCACTTTGATACACATTCAAAAAACCTGACTTCACCAGCTGGTTTGTGTCAATCTGTTCACACCGACATTGCGGACGTCAACCGAAAAGCACCCGGAGATCGGCGCAGACAAGTGCGTGGTCAGAGTCCACGATCGTGCTCCAAATCGAGCGGCAGTTTTGGACACAGCCTCACCAGTGGTAACTAATCGCGATGTGATCGATTTGCGTCCAAGGATGGCCCGAGACTGGGGGGCGCCAAGTCACTCTTAGTTGGGTGCTATGTCGAAAGTTAGTACTTGTGGGACAGAGACGAGCACTTTCACACAGGTGTAGCAACGACTCACCATTATCATTACGGGAGCCTACACCATGTTGTCCGCCTAGATGAAGCTCATCAGAGGACAATTTAACGACTTGGGCGTTTAGATCGCCAGCCAACACTACAGTATCCGTGCTTCTTCTGTAACGAAGGAGATCGTGAAGTTGCTGATAGAAATCATCTTTCACTGAATCAGGGCTGCAGTTTGTGAGGGCGTAAGCTACAATGGCAAACAGGCACCGTTTGTCCCCGCGTGACTTCGAAGCATGGAATGAGCCAACCAACATAACGGCGTACATCCGGCTGTTGATAGGAGTCCAGTCGATCAGGGCAGCTTCAGCCCGGGGCCTCAAAACAATGCCGACGCCAGCTTGACCGGCATTTGAAACTACATCATCGCCAGACAGACGCAATGAGAATGTACCGCCAGTGTCGTATGTGGGGGATCGCAGGTTAAGCACGGAGCTCGAATCTTGCAGGCGAGTTTCTGATAAACGGCAAATATCGATCGATAGGATCTCTAGTGTGCGGGCAAGTGCTGCCTGTTGACCAATCTGTCGCAAAGTCCGCACGTTGAGGTGTGGCAGTTTTAGCGAGACTCGAGGACTCCAAAGGGAAACGGATGTACTGACGTTGTCCGCTTGGTTGAACATAGACTTGTCGACTGGATTGGAGGAATGCTCTGTGACTGTGTATGATTTGAAACTAGAAGACAAGCGACTATTTAAGCAAGGTGGGGTAGGTCCAAGAATTGGGGATTGAAAATGGGAGGGTAAAACTAAAGTTGGAGAGGGACGATAAGCATAAAAAAGCGCAAGAAGAGTGACAAGAAAACGGGAAGGCCTGAGCAGTAGCATCCACACTCACATCCACCCTACTCGATACAGCAGACAGGACGCCGTTGATTATCCTCTGCGATGGCCGTAGGGTCAAGAAATTGTTAGAAGTAAGGTTCATTGTATTGCGTGGGTAGAATACTATGAGGTTGCCAAGGCCTAGACAGGAGAACGAGTATGGTTCTCAATCAAAGCCTTTGGTCCAAAACCCTTTCCACGGGGCAGCGGGATCTTGATATTGTATTACAGAGAGCCCGTTTTATGGAGTAAGGTGCCGCCCTCATTCCAACCTCCAACCTGGAGGACCAGGAGGCTGAGTTTGTCTGGCCTCTAACCACTGACCAATCTGGTATGTGTGGCTCTGAAGGTGCAAAAGGCACCACCAAGCATAGCTCAATGGATCACTGGGGCACACAAATCATCGCCCCACATTAAGGTCATCGCTAACCACCGGGAAACCTTGTGGTAAGGTGAATTATTCATACCCAGGATCTGACACAGTGGAATCCCCACTTTGTGTAACTTCGGAGCGCCTCACATTTTTGTGCCATGGTCGCCGTCGGTTTCATTTGCCGGTACTGTGTCTCGGAGATATATCCGTGTAGCAATAGGATTTAAAGTTTCCTAGTTCCTTGTTTCTCCACCGGTATATTGTTATACAACGTACTGTCCGGTTGAAACTTCCATCTATCTCCAAGAATGGTATTCATCTTAACAAAGTAATGTTCCTTGTCCATGACCACAATACCAGAGTCTTTGTCCAGTTGCAGGAACATCATGTGTTCCATCTCTCTTAACTCTCTAATTGCTGTGTAATGCTCGGTTTGCACGCAACACCGTTGACTTATCGGAGCATTCAGGAACTGGTTCGATACGTCTCTTAATTTTGTACGGAACCATCCAGCAGCTTCCGCTGATCTGGGTGATAGACCGCATAGCTGATCATATAGGTATTCAAAACTAACCTGCGTATTAAGTTTATCAACGCTGCGTTCGCCGCTGACGAGAACAATCGAAATGTTAACGTTTCGTTATGTCTTCTTTCTGCGAACAGTAAATGGACTAAGGGAATGCACTGTTTCAAGTTTCTTAAACGAATGCTCCAAATAACCAGAGCACTGCGGATCATGAATGTGCCATTACTAGAATACTTCGGTTCACCGTGAATGGTGAACTGATGGATCAAAGAGATTCCATTTCTCTCATTCGATATGCCACAGTTTAAGACGACTGTGTGGTCGTTGCAGTTCAACACGTGGGCGGTTGCGATCCGTCGCTACCACTGGCAATTACCAGTCTCTCTTTGTTCTTGGTCCAGAATTTATTCGATCGATATACAAGCGCGAAGAGGAACTGGTACTTCGCGTGAATAAGCGGCCTCCGCAAAATGGCGCTATTTAACCATCGACTGATTCATACAAGATCAGCCGCATTTCAGGCCAATGTTTCTCGGCAGTATTCCTCATACTTTTGAAGTTGTCCAGTCTTTGTGGTTATCTTGTCGTTGCTTCGATTAGTTTCCATTAAGTACAGCAGCATAGATTCGCACCAACTAGTGTCTCTTACGCTGGAAGCAAAATGTAATGTCTCACATTTAAGAGAGAAGCAGTAGAGAAGCCTCACACCATTAATAATACATTTAAAAACAGAAGCAGTCTTAAGCTTACCGATTAGTTCTGTTCGCTTCATCCTTATGATCTTGCGGTGTGTTGTACACAATATTTGTGGGAACCCATGAAGCGGTTGTTACCAGGTGTCCACTGATCATCAATACCGTCGTCTTTTCACCTGAGCCGTCTAACGCCTCCAAAGCAACTGACCGGGAGAGCCCAACTGACGAGGTTATCAAGTCTTGGACATTACCGGCCTCCACGTTTTTGACCGGAAACTCGTTCGGTACATAAAATCGCAGGCATTGTGTTGACGAATGGATCGTTCGTCCGGCTGAAGTCGCCCTAGTCGATCGAATATCCCGCACCGCATCAAAGCGCTCTGATCTGGGTGGAGCTATGTGGAATTCAGCAAGCTGATGAGAGAAGAAGCTGCCCTTTTCGAAAAGCTGTTGATACAAAAGGGTAGAGATTTAGTTTACATTTAGGTTCAGCTAACATTTACTCACAAGAATAAATAACAAAGAAGGTATATATTGAGTGCACCATTTATTTACTGAAGTGCCGAACAAAGGTCACATGAACGGTAGATCCATGAGGGGCACACGTGTCCAATGGTTTAAAAAGGAATACACAGCAAGTACTAGCTGACTAACAAAAGACACCTACCTAAGCAGGTACCAAATAGTGCTGCTCTCTTTGTCCTACCCCCATCTGAATAAACGGCAGACTTATAGGGTGGAATTGAGTTCTAACTGAGGTATACTCCTTAGGTAGCAAACACAAAGGCTTTTTAACTGATTTGGACAGATATCCGGTTAACATTAGGAAGCAGTTCTTACATCATCTTCGGCAAAACTACACCACTGATACAACGGTATCAGGGCATCAAGCGTGGTTGGCAGGGAAGCATGTTGAGGGACATGTGCCAAAAACTCACTAGTATCTGTGCACGCAAACACAAAAATATTCCAAAATAGCAGGTAGTTCAGAAGTACAGTCGCTTGTGATGAAGCACGCTCATAGTAACAAGGTACCTGAATGTATTTTCATTATACCGAACAACAAATAAAGTGGTGGGGGAGTATTTCATGATGAGAGCTTAATTCCCCCAGTGTGTACAATGAATTGCAGCGTTCTCTATATCTTATTCGTATCATTTGAGATTCATCCAGCCACCATTTGTTGGAAGCTACCCGCTTTGGAGCATAGCTCAGATCTACCTCTGTGAATGATCTTTTAACCATGGCGCCGTTGGGGTGTGATAGGCTTCAAAGCGTTTCTCAATCTTTTCCAAGTTTGTTCAGCTCTACACTCGAGGGGTAGGACACTAAATATAACTTTAGCGATTATTAATAACATGATAAGGCTTTGACGACTCCATGACAACCACCGTTTTTTTCAGTACATCCCAGTGGTTTGTACGCAGGTTATGGCAAATTTGGGGCTTTGTAAAATCTTGTTAGAGGTCTTTTGCAACTTGCTGAAAGTCGTCAGAGAAAAGAGTACCCTACAGTGTACAAAAGGTCCACGTGCTCATCCTCATCTAATATCAGTCTGTAACCACAAATTGTAGTCCGTCGATGTGCTTTGCATAAACCGTTCGGCAGCCAGTTGCGTAACCAAACTGGTAGATGCAGCAGAAATGCTCCATTCCTCGGACACTTATGTTGTGTCTGTGCGGTGTGACCATTATAAACAGTGCTTCCATCAATTGACTGCAATTATTACCACCTTGTGACACTAGATTGCAAACCTATATAGGAGATCCGATTGGGATCCTGGAAAATTGCATGGTTAAAGTCAGGAACCACCAGCGGGAATTAACTCTACTTTGATCGTTGTACCTAGGAAAAGACCAAACCGCTTGGTCAGAAATTGGATCCGATACTTCCCAGCAACGAAGCACATTAATGACGTCGTGGTCAATAACAGCAATCTAAAAGATTTATTGAACCAATTTTCCTCTGTGTACGAAAATCGGTTGTGGAAGCTGAAACAGTTTAGGACTTTCATCAACCTACGAGAGAATACCAATGCCGTTTTACAAAGCATGAATATTTCCCTACGCTATGCTTCTCAAAGTTGCAGTAGAACTACAATAGCTACAATCCGAAGGTATAATCATGCATACACAACACTCGGATCGAGGTAGCACAATTGTTTCTGTACTCAAATCCGACGGTACCGTTCGTATATGTGGTGACCATAAGTAAAATATCACTAAAGCTTCCAAGGGGGAAGGGTATTCCTTGCCACGCATCGAAGCTTTGTGCGCTGCGTTATCCGATGATCAAATATATGCTAAGCTTGACCTTAGTCACGCATATTCTCAAGCTGAACTTGATGAGGATTCGCGTGAAGTAACCACCATAATTACACACTGGTACTTTCAGTATACCCGTTTCCATTTCGGAATAAACTCCGACCCCAGCATCTTTCAGCGGATTGTGGATGACATATTGAAGGACAACCCCTTCACATGGGCTTAGTTGAATGATATCCTGGATTTTGGCAGCAGTGATGCTGATCAGTTAAAGACACTTTGGACGGTGCATAGACGTTTGAAAAAATATTGATTGAAACTAACTAAATTCAAAAGTATTTTCGTCTTTATCCATTTGTAGCATGGTTACAAACTTGATAAGTGACACCCATATATTTTGCAGGATAAAATATCTTCAACTACACAGAAACGGCAGCCTAAGAATAGTGATGAAATCCGATCATTCTTTGGAATGTTATCACACTATCGTCTTTTTTACCGGGGGGCATTAACTAGTTTACCGTTTTTGAATTCACTGCTACATAACCCTCCGTGGTTGTGACATGATGAGCAGCAGTCCGCTTTCATTCGCGCTAAAACTGTCTGGCATCAGCGTCAGTTTTAGTTCACTATGATAGAGAAAAGACTTTGATCATTCAGTGTGATGTTTCTCCGTACGGAGTTGGAGCGGTTTTGTGTCATAAAATGCCAAATGGTGCAATTCATCCAATTGTTTTCACTTCGCATGCCTTGCAACCTACTGAAAAAATACAACAGTATCAAGAGGCCCTATCAGTTGATTATGGCGTCAAGCAATTTCACCAGTACATTTTGCGCAGTCATTTTAAGATCCATACTGATCGCAAACAGTGGATATCCTTATTGAGTGAATCCAAAGGGATGGATCATATGATTTCACCCAAAATGCAACAATAGGCCCTAATACTGAGTGCGTGTGATTACAAAATAGCTTACATCACAGGCTCTAACAATTATACAGCGGGTGCCCTGAGTCGGTTACCGCACGCAACCCCCGGAGGTCCAGTAGAGGAACCGGTGGAGTTAGTTCATTTGGTGCGATACCTATACACTACCTCTATGAAAAGTGAACTCATGCGTCGAGGGACCGGTCGGGATCCCAACCTAGCCTCCCTGATACGTTTCACGAAACAGGGCTGGTCTAGAAGAATTCCTTCTGATTTGAAACTATTTGGGCTTCGCAAAAATGAGCTGAATATACACGGTGGTTGCTTATCTTAGGGCTCACGTTTGGTTTCACGGTTGTAGGTCCGCTCATTCATTCTAAATAAACTTCAGGGCTGTTGCGCGAATGAAACCCCTTGCACGAAGTTATTGCTGGTGGCCCGGTTTAGATTCTGAAAATGGAACTAGCTGAAAGCGTGTGATTTCTGCCAACAATATCAATGGAATAAACCCCTAGGTCCAATACACCCTTGACGTTGGCCTGAAAAGCTGTGACAGCGTATTCATACAAAATATTTTGGTCCTTTGGACGGAACATTTTTCTTTTTGATAGTCGATGCCTATACGAAATGGATCGATGTTTATCCAGTGTCTCATCACTCGGCTGAAACAACCATTACAGAAATGCGATCACCGTCTGCAGTTTCCGGAATACCTGAAATTGTTTGCACAGATAATGAGTCCTGTTTTACAAGTAAGGGGTTTGAAAGCTTTGTGCAGAGCAATGTCATTCAACACATGCGCACAGCCCCATATCATCCGGTGTCAAATGGATTGGTCGAATGGGCGGAGCAGACGGTAAAAAGGGGCCTGATAAAGCAGTTATCGGGAACAATACAAACGCGATTAGATCGACTAGTTTTTGCCTACAGAATAATTCGGACAATAGCCATGGGTAAATCTTCCGCAAAAATGATATACGGTAGAAGACTTCGTACTAGACTACACCTATTATTTCCTCAAATTGAAACGAAACAAAGCAAGACAGCTACGTAGAACAGTCATCTCGAGATTGTTTTTCAACCGCGGGATTTCGTGTATACACGACTTCTTCATGAATAGTCATGGCAGCCCGCAACCGTGGTCAAATGTGGTGGTAACCAGGATGACCTAAAGTTAAATGGTCAGATCTTCAGGCGGCATTCAGATCGCATACGTCCGCGTTGTGTGGAAGCACGAGAAAAGGAGGAAAAGACATCTGACTCAATCCAGACGACAGTGGAATAAACCACTCAGGATATGGCGCAAAAACAAAACTGCCCACCAATTCGCAGATCTCAACATTTACCTAAACCTGTTGAACCATTCGTTCCCGGAGTATGACCTACTCCAAGAGAGGAGGGGATGTTATGTCCGTCGATGATCTCGGCCACACCACGTCCATAGTAGTTTGTTTTGCAATGACCAATCAATAACACTTCGCGTCATGCTTTAAGTCGTGTGTCATAGGATTCTTGTGCGTGAATTTTGGCCCGATACACTCTGCTTCGTACTGTTTACCTGCCTGACTACGGTCTTGGGGCGCGCTTTGCTTGACTTCGTTACCATGTAATAACGTGAGTTTAAAATCCAAATCTTGAAGACCGCCCTGCAGGGGCGTGACATTAGAGTGGCGATGCAAGACGACCTCGGCTGCACGGATCAATAGGTGAAGGTGCGCAGAACCGTGAACGAACACGTTTTTTCGCTTACGTAGTCCGTTCGGGCGACTCAACGCTACCATTTTCCCGCAAAGTCTCTTAGCGGATACGTGGCATTATGTAGAGGGTGCTATTCAGGCCTAGCAACGCTGGTTAAAACGCGATCTCGCTGCAATGAGACACTGCAGCTAAACATACCTGGAAAATATATACACCTATACAATATACCACATCAACTGCAGCTGAAAGCCCCAGTAGTGTGCTGTGGGAGAAACTGTCGTCTATGGCGTGACCACATGCTGACCTAACAGAAAGTGAAAAATTCCAATCACGTTTGCTCCCCCCCCCCACCACCGAAAACCAAGCAGGAGCACAACACTTAGCAGCTACCAACTGAAGCTGACCGCACAACACAGCCGGTTGGAGTGTCACCAGAATCATTCCTCTTTCCGACTTTGTCATGCGTAAAACACTCTTGGGACATATGTTATTTATGGGACAACTTGATGTATTTTCGAAAAAAACGACACCACGATGCATTAGATCATTTTGGATTACGTCATATGACCCTTTTGGTGACGTAACGCAGACACTGTGCTCACCAACCTCCCATGGACCTGAGGCAGGCGGATTTACAGATGTGTTAACGTGAACATTTTGACGAGTTCACAGTTGCGCAGTTCACACAACCATTAAATTTTTCCATTTAAATTGTGTATTCACACAGGCCATGCTACGAAAGTTGTTGGGCCTGAACACTTTTACCATTTGTATACCATTATTCCGGTTAAACAGATCGACTAAGTGTCCATCGCTTACCCTTTTTGCATATGTTCACAACCTTAAAGAAATAAATCAGTGTTCTGGTTCGTTTCATTCAATTTGATCAGGAGTGTGTGCCGACGACACGATATTGGCCATTTGTTAAGTGCATCGACAAGCGTGCACACCTGCACCCCTTAGTAAAGGCAACTATTTCATTTCCAGGTGTACTACACCTGTCTTATTGGCAAATCAAATTCCGATGACTACACAAGTTTTAAGTGTTAGCAGGCGAGAGAGGAGGTGCGCATTGAGGTACATGGAAGCCAACTGTATCGAAGCCGAAGAAAAGCCATCGGTCACTCGCGTGGACGGAGTGTGACAAATTCCGGTACAATGAGGTAAGGGATTTGAGCATATTCATGCAGCACTCATGAACTGCACATTCATGAATGTTTCCGTCTGATTGATACCTACTATAGTGCCAAGTACTTGTCCGCTGGTCACAGGAGAACACAAACCGTGCATGGATTCATGATGGGAGGATAAAGGTAGAATAGATGCAGTTGCTTCGGGTTCACACAAGCAGGTGATAGAAAATGGGCAAAATTTCGGTCGCGACAATTAGCCACATCATGTACCAGTAAATACACAGACGTGTGAATGTCCATTTCGAGCTAATGTTCGCATTACCAACGGGTAACGCACATTGGTCTACTACTAAGCCGAAGCTTGGTGATGCGAATATTAGAAAGCAAAGGCAGAGTAACTGGACTACATTTAGAAGATATGATAAGCTCATGCTGCCAAAATGCATGATTACACAACACAATAAAAATTCAAAAAGCTTCAAATCCACGGGTTTAAATGGCACAACTTACAACGGCTTTGATTTCTTCTGGAGGATGTCGTATTTGCATCGGATATTTCCATGAGAATCGCACCTTGAAATCTTGGGATAGGGGTCTGATATTCGGAAATCGCAAGTAGAACACATAAAGAATGTTATACTTACTATTATTGCCTTTGTTTATTAGGAATCACATGTGGCTGTATAGCGTCCTGATGCTAGCTCGACATCAAACAAAAAGCAATCGCATTATCAGAATCAAACGTTCGTAGTCCTCATGGACTTGCAATCGGTTGGGGTGAACACTACTCCAAATCATGATATGATGAAGTGGGAACTATGTCTGCGGCTGTCCCCGTGAAGACCGAGGTGGCAAGCAAATCCGGAACCGGATGCCGCCCACTACGTATGTTACGGTTATTATGTTTTTACCGGAATTGGATTAAAGTAACTTACACTTTGTTTTTTCCGCATTACACTAGATCTAACCTCGTCCATTTGCATTTATTCGTGCAGTTTCTCCTCCTCCGCATATTATCTGTTTATTTCGCACGTTTTCCATCTCTTTCAATTTTTATGTTAGTCGGTTGAAATCCCCTGCTTTACACTTACACTTGTCTAACGTCATTCCAACCGTAGATTAGAATTAATAATTTTTTTATTTGCTCATTTCTGTCATTCTGCCGAACATTTACTGTCCAGTTCGCATGTTTAGCTGTCATATTCTTTCATAATCATATGGTGCCTCATGCTGAGGTTGATGTTGCATACATGATGCCTCGTCACCACATTTGGGCTAAACCGACTTACAGTTAGATCTTTTTAACCTGAATAAAAGTTATTCCACTTTATTTGCTTTGTTTAGTTCTGTTATTCTGTTGCATTTTCGGTGCCAATTTTGCTTGTTTGCTTTCCAATAAATGCTATGTTGGTTGTTTGATATCCCTAGTGTGACTGCACTTGAGGTGAACGTTGACAATGTGCCTACCTGTCTAACACCCCATACCTCGGTTACCGGCTCCAGGAGACTGTGTATCGTTGCCGGGGGCGATGGGGTGCATGGTCCTCCTGGCGGTGATGGAGGCAAAGAGCGGTTCCATCCAGTGTGGAGCGGACTACGGTACAGCCACCGCTTTGTCTATGTCTGGTATGCATGATTCCCTACATAAATAGACGAATGCTGCTACTGTGCATGTTGAAGGAGTGTGGGCCGGCTCCGTTGATGAAACCCGGCTCCAATCGACATGCCTTCCGGCCTTATTCCTTCGGGTTTACAGTGGATATGGGTGTGTGGATGGAGCTGTGCGTGGTGCAGCGCAAGCCATCCATGGTCTCTCTGTGAGCACAGGTTGCTTATGGCTGTCATATGGAGGCCGCAGTGATAGACAACTCCTGAACAGGATGTCGCCAACCATGTATATATAACGGCGATGAGGTGATGATTCCCTGTCGAGAAGGGATAGGATGTTATATAGAACGTACGAAGTACGAGATCCTAGGTTGATAATTACAACTGCTAAACATTACTTTTCCAGTACCTCAGGATAAACAAACTGGATATCCTCAAACGACAGCAGTTTTATTTGGACATTATGTCACTGGCGCGGTAGGATTTAGTGACACTTACAGGACTACTAAGCGCTGTTCGTACCCGACATGGATCTCCAGACTGGTCAATTCGAAAGGCAATAGCCGTACGTAGCTGGTTCGGATCGATTGCAAGGCAAACCGACATACTGCCATAGCTTTTTCGATTTCATTTATTTCCAACTAACATAATCCTATAGGCTTGCATTACTTAAACATAATATTGGTGTACGAGAATCATTCTTCTTCCATTCATTAAAAATAAGTACTTAAAGGACCTTTGAGGAATGTTACAGCTGCACAAGTCAGTGTGCATTGATTGGCAGCTACATAACTCACACAGCTCAGCAATCAGCAAACCTACATGGGTTTTGCGGTCTCGACCAACTTCCCGTTGAAATATAACTTGAAAAAGTACATACTGCTTGCCACATCCTTCCGTCGCTTCGCTTCTCCTCTACAAGCAAGTAGGGTAAAAAAAAGGACGATGAAGAAAGACGAGATGAGCTATGACTAAAGTCGGAGGTAACATGTAATTTGTATCCACCGAACACTGACGGTGACCCGTTTTGCATGTTACAAAATAAACAAGTGATTCGATCCAGCTGTCATATGAATCATTAATTATACTGTCGGCTACGTGTACTAGTTTAGTGAATCTAATGAATCAATGTGTGTTATAAGATTTGCTGGGTTGGTCTGCTGATACTTTACACGCAAACTGGAATATTCAACTGGTCATTCAAAAATGCTAGCTGCATTTTACCCAGTAATTAATCATTAGCAAGGTATACCTGCTGTATGAAAAGCATTAAAGTAAATAATACTGGTTTCAGAACCGAGCCACTTCTGCAAGCAGTCAATGCTGGAGCAGAAACGATGAGACTGACAAAGACATTTCAGTGTCAGCAAACTGTCAAGGAATAATTGAATTGGACGGATTTTTATGAGTCCATAGTTCGTCGCAATGATGAGATTTTGCCTCATTAGGCAGCGGTAGCCGTTGGTAACACCGCCAGCAAAAGCATAGTTTTCAATATTTTGTAGTCACTCTCGTAGTGTTGTCATTTGTCTACCAATATTGCTTGTCTTAGAAACCATGTTCACTGTAAGAGATCTGATAGACATTGCACGCCTGACAAATAGCCGATATTTCGACACGGTGTTTTATGGGTAGACGATTCGGTTGATGTCCCACTGGTCCCACTTTCGCGTCGCAGTCAGGTTGACTCTACTAGACGAGTGCCAAAAGGTGCGAAACCGGTGTGTGTGTGTGTGTGGTGTGTGTGTGTGTGTGTGTGTGTGGAGTTCAGTGCTGCGGGAAGGAAACACTTGCGGACAAGCTCAGTTTATCAACTGGCGTTTCCGAGAGAAATGGCTATCTAGAAAAATTTGTTCGGAAGTATATGGAGTGCAGAGAAACGAGAGTTAAACCAGCTTCGGTAGAAAAAACCCGGTTTATCTGTCGTTGCCGTGCAAGGGGATGGTATGGCGCAGTCAACATCTAGAAGGTTATCGGACGCTATGAGCCATACCTACTACGCAGCGAACTCGCGATTAAGCTTTACTTTGACAGCAATCGTGCGGCCTCAACTCAAAGACTGACTTCCTTGGTCATGTGCCTCTTACTGTGTATATTCCTTCTCTTGTTGCTGTCGAGTAAGGTACATCGGGAGAACTACAAGGAAGCTGTCTGAGAGAATACGTGAGCATTGTCCAGCTAATCTACGCAGCGTTAACAGCAAAGCTGTGTGCGCCGTGTTGGCACACTTAGTTGATTCTAATCACCAAATCGACACCCACCAATCTTTCCAACCCATTTACCGCGTACCTGGAAGCCTTTCACGAGCGGTAAAATATCGATTACTAGCAGCAGCTGAGGCAATTGCTATCCGCCACCAGAACCCAGATTTATGTGCTCAAAAACAGTTCGTTCAGATTCTGTGTTTGCCCTGGCCCGCTATCACAACGACTCATGTTGAGGGACATGCCGCCGACAAGTCATCGACCACTTCTGATCCGATTACTTAGCATTTTCATTCCAATGACCATGAACCCTGAACTTTACCATTATCTGATATTTTAGGTCAATCTTATTCTTATCAGTTGGGCTGTTTTAGACTGAGGAGAGCCACTGAAAATGAGCTTGTCCGTTAACTTGTTGTTCTGATGTCCACGCCTGGGATATCTTTTCACTTGAAACATATTTTCGCATAATCGACTACGACTCATGCTGAACATCATGCCATTGGATCGTTGGCTGTTTTATGTCACAAGTGACTTTACTTGGTATCAAGCGTGATCAGAACTTGCGTCACAATGGAACGCAACAAATCTAGTCACAACAATTGCTGATGTGACCCTTGGACCAATGACTAATTCAACTCGAATCATTTCGCTGCCGTTTCTGAACTCGCCTCGGACCGTTGGAATACGCAGCGCTGAAGAGTCCGGAGAGGAGAAAACCGCCGAGCAGAGCTTTTCTGGTTGCGTGCCGTCTTTATGGCTGAGTTCAATTGTACCGAAAATATTTGCAGTCGAGATGTCAGACATTCAGTTTGATTCCAACAGACCACAGTCAGTTAGTCAGCGCACACAGATGTCTGATCCGTAATGTTACATGCCCAGGAACACAAGAGCCACATTGTAATGAATTTTCGTTTCATCCATATCAATACAACTGTTTGATCGACTAATATAAAACCCCTGAAGATCATCCTTGTTCTACTAAGCTCTTGATATTCCGACTAAAATTAACAATTCTGTGTTAGTTACGCTCAACTCTCAGTTGGAAACTTCAGTAAAAGATGGGGTCCTGATCTAGGACTCTAGGATACACAACCTTGTACATTGATTAAGAGTGCACATAAATCCGCACGCCATCTTCCGGAGGTGAGTTCCAACACAGAAGCCACCAAGTTAACAAAGGAATGTCTCATCCGTAGTGTAGGCTTAGACATAAAGCTATCAAGTCCATGAAATGGCAGAATAACCTACTTCGCTTTCACACCTATGGTGAGCCAATTCCATCCGATTATCCAGTGTGTTCAAATGCACTGTACTGTTCAAGGATGCTGGTAGAACCTTTGATATTTCAACTTGTGATACTGTGCTATCCAGTAGGCATTCGTTTACACTTCAATGGTAACAAATTCACTGCTAGTGGGGGTTGTGGAGGACAGTTGCCGAGTGTTAACCCAAGGCGTCAACGTGAGTACCGCCATCGTCAGTAAATGAGAAGAAGACTCACTAATACACCATGTTCCAACCATACAGCATGGGCAGGAGCAAAATTTTATTTAACGGGTTCTATGCATGTGAGCAGCAGAACTCGGTTGAATATAACTCATTTCATGAGTCATAAGTGTGAAAGGAAACAAAAGATTTCTCAGTACAATCCGCGCAATAACGGAGAGCTGATCTAAGCAAAACACCGGCTATTGCACACAATAATATGCTGGAGCAAAATCTAGCTGTAACGGGCTCACTGCATCGTTTGCAAAGCAGCTGGATTGACTGAAATCACTTTAGGATGCATTGATTGTTCTTGCATCTGGATGCACATTAAAGATAGTCAATCTTAGTGAGCACCCAGTATGTGTTGTATCGTAAAATCATCTGTGCAAATTTGTACTACTTTGTCCTATACAGGGAATTGTTAGACGCCTTCTGCCTGTGCTGATGGATAAGTGGACATTGGTTTTCCCGTACTCCATGCTCATTTCTATTACCATGGACACATTTTTCTGGTTACCCCTGCTTCGGAGTTGTACAGGTTCTTCGTTGCGTCCATTACATTTCCAGATAACTAACACCATTGGGTGGTAGAGAATTACCTATTCAGCCCATTCATTTTCGCCCACCATACACGACACAGTCGGTGACAAAATCTTAACCTTGTCGCTCAACCACCCTACAGCGTAACCGTCCACGATTGCGTTATGGTGTACCAATTTACATAAGTCCATTCTTGGAGACATCGAGTTGAGCCTAATTTAGTTGGCTGGTGATCAGGATTCGGGAGACTAGGGCAACTCAAGCTAATCAGCCGCACTGGATAGACACTTACTTCGACAGCAAGGATTCATCAGTGAGGACATCCGTTTCCAGCAGGGATATACTTATTTTTGGTTCCCCGGGAAGTCTGCGGTACTGCCTCATCTGAATTTCTACCCGTTCCCTTTCAAGCGACTCGTTGAAGGACGGAGGAGGAGTGGGTGCTCTCCTAACTCTCCCTTGTGCCAAAATGCGTGCGTCCTCTCTCTCGAATTCAGCCAACCTGGATTCTTCCTGATTAATGACAAAACTATTGGGGTGATTGAAAAGGTGAATCCACTAGAGGTGAAATTACACAACTTCTCTACTTAAAACCTACGGCTCCGGCTGACTGCTACTTTACTAACCTCGAGAACGAGATGCTCAAACCCCCGACTTCCAGTTAATAGAGGTTCACAAAAAGATTTAAGGATATGCAGGCAGGTTATTGGGGTACAAGTGTGATACTAACTGACATGATACAATGCTTGAAAGGTAGTTTGACCATTACACGAAGGCGGCCAAAATAGGTCAAACGATAAACTGGGATGGATAAAGAAGTGCGGTCACTTGTTTAGCGTGTGTAAAAAACAGAGTGAGATGAGAATTAGTAATCGGTTGATGCCAGATGAATAATGCTGTGCAACACGAAAATCGCTTTAATTAGTAAGTCGTAAACTATGAGTCTGGATCGTAGAGGAATCTTCGAGCCATTCTTAGTGCTCCACTTGATTTAAATATAATACAGCTGTTTGCACAAGCACAGATAGCATCTTGAGCAACAAAATTTTCGCGGTTTGTTGGAGTTCTGTGGAGTCCAGCGCAAACGTCAACCACCTCTCTGCTTAGTACAATAAGTTTATGATAGACAGTGAATGAAATGACCACTGATCACAAGTGTGTACACCATTAGAGCTTTTTACGCTGTCGGTCTAATAGTTCACCGGGTTTCACTATTTTAAAAAGGTATACGGAGTAACTGGAAACTTACTTCAGGATTCAATACCTGTCCGGATTCTCGCTGGCGTTGTCTTTTTAGAGCGTCGATCTAAAATGTTGGATTCGATTGATGTGCTTCCAATTAAGGCATTGAATTGAATTTCATTTCGATATAGGGCATAACAACGATGAAGTAAAGGCACCGATTAGGAAAAACCATCAGCGGCCAGTATCGTTGAGATGAAGCCTTAATGCAGAGCATGATGTGATGCTACATTGTATGAACACCCACACAGTTCTGAAGCCAATGTGGCTTTGCACCAGTAAATTGCTGACGAATCGGTTATTTCGGGTGTAACTCGATCACGGTATTTCACTTAACGACAAGTTATGTCTTATATGGACTGGCCGTCTCGAAATGGCCTGAGCCAATGAATCAGTGAATGCTACCATAATATACTAATTACTAGAGCACCCAGATCCTCCAAAAACAGTGGAAGCATAAATAAAAACACGTTCAGCTTGTGATTTCACCTATCTAGGAGATCAAGATTACCCAAGTTAAACTTGGGAAAAATCACGCCATGTTGTAATGAAAACACGGAATGCAACTAGAGTAAATAATTGTTGTTTTACAGCTACTTCCCCAGTGATCCGGGTTGAACTCAAGTAGCTTAAACATGACTCAAAAAACCCACTTCTGTGAACGATGGATGGTTCGATTGTTTTTAACACGTAAAAATAATTAAAGTAGGTTAACCTGTTTCCTTTTTAGTTCTTTATATTCTTTCAGTCGAATTTTGTAACTTTCTTGCAACTTTGCGTTGGTTTTCACATGTTGGCAGCGCAGTTCTTCAACAATTTCCTCCAATTCTTTATCCCATTCTTTCCGCTCTTCAGTTTCCTCGACGATTTCTCTAAACACATAAATTGCGTGAGAAGTACAGTTCCCGTACTCATGAGCTGATGAAATACAATCACATCTGGGGATAAGGACATTTATGACACAAGGATAATTGATATTCTTGGGATGAATTAAAGTAGTCTCGCTAACTGGATAGGCACAGTGAAATACAGCAAATTCTGAGGCCAGTGCGGAAGTGTACCGGACCAGAAATTGTGATCAATCGAAAGTGGTGCTGGGACAGACGGTATCTGTTGTGTGTGCATCAAATCGAGATAGTTTTGCTCTGAAATTCGCCCAGATCAGAATTGCATGCAAGAGGATTATGAAGGGCTGCATCCTCGAGGTGGGAGTTAGTATCACCAGGGAACGAGTCTAGCATATCTTAATTTATTGATGCAGGAGATAATTTTTGTTGCGCATCTTTGGTTTACGTTGGTTTATTTTAATTCATAACGTGTAACACAAAGTAATATCTCACGCATTGTATTACGGACTTATGTCAATACTGAAAACCTGTTAGTACAGTTGTATGCGGCAACTGGCCGAGTGTACAGCAGCCACAGACGCAACTGCTCATCAGTCACTGCCTTGCCCACATTATCCCCTACGTCTGAAGATACCGAGAACTGTGTGCTAGTTGGGTGCAAAGACAAATGATACCCGAATTAAAAGACCCTCGCATGAGCGCTTGTTCACATTTCTGCAACTGTATGGATGAGCAGCAGACAAGTTTCACCTTCCATTGTTACGCGTGACAAAGTATGGGTGTATTAAATTCCGTCAGAGACCATGCAAATAAGCGCAGACTGGAGTCATCACCGAAGTGAAATGAATTCCACCCACTTCATTTGACTGAGGAGATTTTCCTTAGGTCTTTGTATGACCATGGGAATCCAATTTCGGGACACGAGTTACCAGAACATTGTGGATAACGTAGGGCACGAAAAATCTAACGAAAATCACAGACCCCCAATCAAGTCAAGATGATACGGCTTGCTCCCCTTGGGTGTATGTTTACAGTGCCACATGCACGAAAACACTACTGACGCTGGAGTATGAATAATACTCGACTTACGTTTTTCAAACTCCACCACACCCTCCATTTCGCACTGCATGGGGCCAAAAAATTACAATGCGTTTGGACCGCTAAAAGAGTCCTTTCATGGTTGAATTTGTCAAAGTGTGATGCAATTCAGAAGGTGGTTAATGTCTGACGCTGCAGTCGACTGAAGAATGTGATGTCGAGGGAGCGAAACATATAAGCTGATGACGCTCATGCATCGAACGCCAGAGTGATTGGGTTGTAAGGCAATGCAGTGTCGATGTTTGTGCTTACGTCAGCTTGGTACCAGTAAACATCCAGCCTAGTTGTTGACCCCGTGCGCAGTAACTATCCAACCGATCAAGGGCACTTATACTTTCGGCAAAAAAAGCGCACGTTGCACGGATCTCAAATAATCGCATTCGGCCTCGTTCTCTCTTCCGCTTTCCTCATTGCGGTAAGCGGAACACTAACGCAGGAACATTCGTGTTTGATCAACTGGTGATGTCCAGTTGGCCAGATGCGCAACTGCCCATTGAGATGGAACGGATACAAATATATTTCTTTTGTTGTTGTCAGACCTTGCTACCCTCCCTATGTCTATCAGTAGATAAAAGCTGTTTTCTAAAGAAAAAATATTCTCATTACCGCGAAGTTTACGCTTAGCAAATTGGAAATATGTCCTAGAGATGCTCTCTAGCAAAGCGCTTCACATTCATTCTACAATACTAAACATTTTCTACTTTTTCCTGGGGCCCCTTCCTTTAGGCACGTGTAGCAGTTCTCTATGCCCCGTGAAAACAATATAGATATTATCTCCGCTTTGAATGGATTCGTCCGAGGACACTGTCTGAAAACCTACCAGGATCATCCATGTTTACCGTCACTCTTCAAAATCAACTCTTACCGAACGAAGGTAAACTGTTGGAACGACAGTAAATTTGCTCTACACTGCATGCACTTTTCTCTCCCTCCCTGGAGAAAGTATTTGGTACACCTACGACATTTCTCAAGGCCATAAAATTTAGTCCACATCACTACTCTCCCAAATTTGATCTAAAACTGTTGGAACCATCACAATTATTTTATCTGAAAATTGCTTTGAAAAAACATGTACCTTTCTGAGTGTTTATGTCTCCACTGAGAGTTTGTAACATCTGTATCCGACAACTTCGGACGAAAGCCCATCATCTTCTCATTAATGTTCCTTCATCCTTTTTCTTTTTGTTTATTTCTCTCCTACCACTGTTGGCCACTACTGAGCCGATCTCCGTAGGTGATGGAACAATACTTCCAAAAATTCAGTAAACTTACGAGATACAAGTTGTCACGAACTCACTGGCGAACATAAATGTGCTAGATGTGAATTAGCTAAATGATAGCTGTATGATGAGGAGAGCTTAAGATATTACACAGGCCCCCACAGACATTTATACATATTTATGTATACTATGTCACCATGATGATGAAAAAATTACATATGACAACCGGCAACAAGAAAAATACGAGTCCAAAAACAGGCTACTTGCATTAAGCCAGAATACCATATGGCCAGATGACATGCGTAAATGAAGTGTGGGAGCAGCTCTCCGGGAGACGGTTCCATGAAGGATCGTATTACTTTACTCGACCTGACGGCTATAACAACACTTATTCCTACGTTAAACTTCTTCATGTTTGATGATTTTTAAGTGATTGAGCACCTCAAACACTTTAGTGAGAACATAACGGATCTTGAAAAGTCCCTCCGCTATCCAACGTTATCGTACCGGTTGATCAGGTTTGTATTTTGCCTGTGTCTTGCGTGCCGAGAGATATACTGTTTATTTATTTATTTATTGATTACACAGCATTGGAACCACATACCAACATGCCGTTTATGTCTTAACCATCGAAAACTCAGGTCAAAAATACACTATTGTGCCCTAGATCGTTCAGACCATGGGAGCGAATTATATCGTCATCTGGTCGCTGCAATGAACATCGCAACGGTTAACTTTAAGTAGGCAGCAACGATATGACGAGATGCTTGAGAGCTGGCATGGGCGCATGACACAGCGCCGCCAAGTAGTACAGATCATTCCGTGGGACAGGACTGACATACGGAGTTCTCTCGCCAAACAAAGTGCCTAGGAGTACATGCGGCTTGGCAGCTGACCGTAAATTCACTTAGAGGTTAGGCTGCGAAACAAATAGGTCTCTAGGGATTTTTAAACTGTACTGGAATATGGGGCCAGTGAGTCGCAATATGTCAAATCAAATAGACAACACGCAGTGGTTTTCTTATCCATATGCGGTAGAAAGGCCATTTGTGTTTTGGTGACCGGCACGTACAATTTTAGCGCCCATATATAATAGAGCTACTTCTGCAGCACTGTCAACTTTGGTGAGTTATCAATTAAAAGCAAGGCAACAAATAATTACTGCAGTGCTCTGGAACGTTTTCGGATTACTGAATGCAAGCTGACAAGCAACATTGCTCAGTCAGGCAAAACCAAGTATACTAACGTAAAATAGTGAGTTTTGGGACATTTCGTTTAACAGTAAGGGGATCAAGCACTTCACTAGCTTGAAACTCCACTCATGATATCAAGGCATAGGACTCGGTGCCACTTGGGTTCTATGTGATGTTGCCGACCAACAGTTTTATAAACAGGAACTTAATCTGTTCTACTATCTCATCATCCCTGTGGTCTGCCTCGTTTATGTTGATTTTGCTGACGCACACTTCCGTAGTGGCATTGTTATCTACTACTGAGGACGACATTTTGCGATGCTAGTTTGCTGGTTTGCGTGCAAATCCACCTCGAGGTTTTTGCTCAAGATGGTGGGGAACCAAGTGGTTGTGTTATACTGATTCTACTACGCTGCCTAGATCACGTAACGAATAAATTAAGTATTTCATTCTCCTTTAGGTTCACTGTTCGAAATACTAATTGTTCAATGATTTTTCATGAATAGGGTAACACAAACCACTCTGTTAACTGCATTTCTGTTTATCAGTGGTCTGTTGATAAGATCCAGCAACCTCCTCAGGAACACCAGGATCGGTCGCTTTCACATGCCAAAGCTGCAGTGCAGTAAAATATAAGCGTATCCGGTGGGAAATTTCCGAGAAGTGTCTACGGAATGATATACGTAACCATCTATCTCTTTCCAACAGACTAAGATATTCTGCTGCAGCAATCTGACAATCAAACGCAGAGCGTGCGATCCAAATAGTATTATGAGAACGGAAAATCAAAATGCGTGGAAAATGGTGCATGTCAAAGTCAGTGACTTCGGAAGTGCGTTAGATACACTTGCCCAGCGCTTTTCTGCCGTGACACAAAGCGACTCAAAATGGTTGAGCGGGTGTTCATATGAATAAAATTATTAAATAAATAGATATGAAACAAGTTGTTCCCCTTATAATTCCAAACAGAAAAATCAGAAGACGTAGAGTCTGAGATGACGTCGCCATTTCGTGCATTCTTAGCAACCACAAAAAACATTCAGCAATGATATGTAAACGAATAACCAACCATGTCAAAGAGATCATATATAGCTCCGGATTTGCGCTACCAGTGTAGGCTTAAACTCGCAGTTAGCTGTTTTCGTGTACATAGTGGCGGTCGCTCGCGATCGATAACGATGGCCTCCAATAGCCTAAGCATGTGAGGCCGCCGATCGCGCAGTAGGACAGTGAAGGACTCATCAGGATTGACTCGGTGGCCGGTGGTAAGCAAGTGCTTTGTGACTGCCGAGGCAGCTCGGTTTCCCGATTCAACCGATTCCGTCATTACAGACACCATTCGGATGCGTAATCACTTGGGGATGTGTTCATTGACTCGGACACCTAAACTTCGGTTGGTATGACCAACGTAGTTAGCTCCGGAGCTACAGGTGAATTTATCTAGACAGTGGGACGTACATTAGCTAGTCATCGGTGTCTTAGTCGAACACATAAGCATAGGTCATGTCGATGTGAGCAGTCGCAGTCCCGCCGCATTGTATGCTCTTTTGAGTGAAGCCCTGATCCGTTTCTAGGTGACCTTCATAAAGTGGTCACCTTTGAAAGGTAGCTCGATAAAGATCGGCTTCTTCTGAACTATTGGCATACGATTTCGCTTGGTTGCTTCACTGACACGCTTAATGAACTGCAACGGGTAACCGTTGGACTGTAGCCTGTTGAAAAGCAAATCCCTTTCTGCTTCTATGGTATCAGGTGTGCAGACCATTTGCGCCCGATAGAAGAGTGTCCGGAAGAGAGAGCTTTTGTGTTGAATAGGGGAGAAACTCGTCAAATGCAGTTACTGACAAGTCCATGTTGGCTTCCTGTACACAGGCCTTCTGATAGAATTGTCTGGTCATCGTGTAATCAGTACATCTAAATATGGAAGACAGTTATCTTGCTCATTATCACGTGTCACTGTAAGGTTCGGATGAAATGTGTTGAGTGTCTTGATCGCATGCTCAATGTCCACATCCGAATCCATAATTAGCAGTATATCATCAAGATAACGCTTGTACAGAGTCGCCGATCTTATTATCTCATCTGCTTTTTCTTCAATCGTACCCATGAATACGTCTGCCAACAACGTGCCTAATGGACTACCCATGGTCACACCAACTATCTGCCGATTTGCTATCCCTTTAAAGTAAAACGATGCTTTGCGTGCATAAAAGAAACATGCTCTTCAACAATTCCGTGGCGAGCCTAAGTCGAACGTCATGGTTTGAGATAAACTCGCATAGATAGTCAACAGTCTCGTTCAAAGGGATGTTAGTGAAGAGGGATTGAACATCAAGGAAGCACATTTGCTTTCCAGCCAAATTGACACACTACAAGTTGGGAATTAGTTAGGATGTGTTTGTTAAGCTACGCTTTACTATGGATTTTCTGATAGGCTCAAGCATGTTGTTCAGCGACTTGGAGATACTTGCTCACATGGGCTTTCCTGCCTTGTGTACTTTAGGCAAACCGTGCATCTGTGGAGTATGGGTACCAACCGGTTTTAGCGCACTGTATTCGTCATCGGAGATGAATCCATGGAGCTTTAGGATTTGCAATTCACGATACAACTGCTTTTTGATTAAACGAACAGTCTCAAATGCGGTATCCGGCTTGAACGTTGTGCTGTCAAACAAGATTGTCTCCATCGTACGTAAGTAGTTTGACTTGTCTAGGCTTACAATGCCGAAGCCTTTATCAGGCTTCAATATAACAATCTCCTTGTTGTTTCTCAGTTCGCTTAGTGCCTTATAATACTCTGCAACGAGACATGTCCGCTATTGTATTTGCGCAATGAAGAAACAATGCGAAATATCTACTAATTTGTTCCATAACAAAGCGTCATTGGCAGGGAAATTGGATTCAATGGTGGCAGTTGCCTGTAGAAATCCTCAAAGCTAGCGTCAACGGATGTGTTGTGAACCTGTCTAGGTAGAGTCTTAAACCCCAATCCAAGTGATAAGACCTCGGTCTGCAATCGGTTGAGTGACAACGATGACACGTTATGAACAAATTTGGAACAATCAACAGGGAAGTCGCTCTTTTGTTGCTCAGCCGAAATGGTACGTTGGAACTTGAGTCTTGCAGACTGTGTAGTCTTTCTGTTTACGTCGTGGCAGAAGTTCACGAATTTGATTCGACACACAAGCGGTAAAGAATCACACAGTGATGGATAGCGCTGGACCGAATGGCGTCTGTAACGACGGAATCGGTTGAATCGGAAAACCGAGCTGCCTCGGCAGTCACAAAGTACTTGCTTAACACCGGCCACCGAGTCAATCCTGATGAGTCCTTCACTGTCCTACCGCGCGATCGGCAGCCTCACATACTTAGGCTATTGGAGGCCATCGTTATCGATCGCGAGCGACCGTCGCTGTGCTCAAAAACAGCTGACTGTGAGTTTAAGCCTACACTGGTAGCGCAAATCCGGAGCTATATATGATCTATTTGACATGGTTGGCTATTCATTTATATATCACTGCTGCATGTTGTTGTGGTTGATAAGAATGCACGAAATGGCGACGTCATCTCAAAATCTACGTCTCCTGATTCTCCTGTTCGAACTAGATATGAGTCAGATCAAAACCAAGACAATCAATTACCCACTTTAGCAACCTTACTTCAACAAATCTGGACTGTTTATACCTCCTTGATATATTGCTATCCATAGATCTTTTCGTCTTACCCCAAGCGTTTATTTTTCGCGTCACATAAACATCACTCCATTAGGTTTCCTTGATGATGTCATACTTTACACCTTTAGCACAACCTCTCGTCATTTCAGCGAAATATTGGCACTTACCGCGTAATCTTGAGCCGCACTGGGGTATTCGTACATCCAGCCGCTTTGCGAACAGCCTTCACGCGCTTCCAGGATCGCAACGCTGAAGCTAGTAGACCCCTAAGCGTGCCCTCTGCCTGGTTTCTGGTTTGCCGCAGTGAACTGCAGTCGAATGAGTAAGGACAGTTTGGATAAGTAAGTACTTGTAACGATCCCACAGAGAACATCATTCTAAACGATTTTCTTTTTTAGGGAAAACAATAGCAACGTCTTAAAGTGCCTTGAAATACCTTGAACTGGGTGTTATACAGTGGGCTTGCACTCTTCACAAAGTAAGGGATGTTCCAGACCTTTTGTTTACCGGCTGTAGCGATGAATGGATTAAACCTTAAAGCCGGTCCCCAGTTATCACACGCTATTCTGGTTCCTATATTTTTGCTTCTCAGTTTACCCAGTGACACTTTTATCTTACCTGCTCAACGACCGATTGGAGTGAAAAGACTAAGGAATGCCTTACGAAGGAAGCTGAATTTAACCCCAAACACTGTACCATAGCTAGAGAGAGACATAAACATTTAATCTGAAACATGTGGGGACAGGCTAAGCGGTCTAATTGGTGTAGTCATATCGAGGTGAATAGTAGCCTACAAACTATTACTCATTTAGAAAATCTGACAGAAAATCCGTTTATGTGAATCTCCTCTAGCATAAACACGAGTAAAACCGATGAACTTCGTAAAGATGCCAAAAAGAAAACAAATATGTTGCTGATGGTTCTTTTCTACTCCTGTTAGAATGTCCATTTTCAGCACAGAGGCGGCTGCACTGTTTGAAGGACTAGGTAACTACTGCATTCCGAGTTATTCAGTCATGGATATGAGGATTTGGAAGGTTAAGCCGTCTCTTGTCTTAAAGGTTGCAGTGGTCTGTGCCTCCAGAACATCCCAAGTCAGTGCGCCCATTGCTTTAATCTATCAGCCTAAACCAGCAGTACACACAGGCAAGCTACCGATTGTGTTGAACATATTTATTAATACAGTGAATAGGTGCTAATATGAAGTAGGTGATTATGTCATTTTGAAAGGACCGCTTAGATATTGGGGAAGAGCAGGCTACGCACAACCAAAACAAAAAGTGTGCAATCTGAATTCTCGAATCTACTTGCACAGTGGTTCCGTCCCCATTAAATCCTCATACGGTACTTAGCCGTAGGCTACAGTAATGCAAGTACTCGATTTCAGGCATTTCCGGATCCTCCAATTTAGTACTGTAGAATACAGAAGGACGTCACAGGCCTAGAGGAAAGACAAGTAATCCGAGTGACTAATTAGCCCTTTTTGAGGAAAAGAACGATGAAACAAAGATAACAGTATGTTTACAGTGCTATAGTGACACATGACGGTTATTACTTACCTGATCTGACTTTCATAGTCCCGGATACGGTTGTCTAGTTCCAACGCAATGGAAGTCTCGGATGCGCGGTTCTGTGAAAAGAAAGCAGACAGTGTCTGATGTGATGTGTCTAATTATATCACAATAGATTTCAAGGTAGCGCCTTAGTAAGTACTAGTGATTCAAGCACTGAAGTGCGTTGTAGTCGTCTATCCTAATTCACATCTCCAGAATGGAAAAGGAAAGTCATGAGGGAGAGTAGAAAGAGGGGAAAACAAAGCCTAAACAATCAAACCAAACTGAACTATATAGGGTTAAAATCGATTGATGAAGGGTTCGAGGGTTAAAAGAGAGGGGTGAACGCATTAACACCACTGACACCGAACTGCGTCGAGTAGATCGAGAATCCTGTCTAGGATATGCATAGCTCGGTCGTCCTCACCTATTCTTACCAAGTAATTTCCGCCGATTCTGCATGCCTCGTCCTTCACTATCATCGACTGGTCGTTCAACCAAACAAAGGTCTGCATCTTGCCCTTCACGGAAGTAGACGACTAACTGATTCTTGGGCATCAACTCGGATCTGGGGTTTGGTAGAAGCCTGGATCATAGAGACTTAGGATTTAACTATATTATAATAGAAAAATCGATCCTTTTAACAATCTGACTAAGATTCTCTTAAGAGCAAACAATTCTGTCACGAATAGAGAGAATAGCAACCATTTCATGTATTACTTGATAAGCTGATCCTCGAAGTAAACGTGGCCCAGCTGAGTTGGTTTAAAGTGTCGAATAACTGCGACCGATTCTACATCTATATCGGCGTCCTAGCGGGAACATTGCCTCAATAAACTTCTTAGTGTTGGTTAGCAAGTCCCAGACGATTGACTTTATCCATATAACAGTCTTTTTCGAGTTCAGCAGAGATGCAAATTGTTAGATGAGCTTCACAGCCTTGTTTACTCAAAGTGGACTGACAATCTCGAATAAATAACCTTTCATAAGGGTAACGGTTGACAAAACAAAGAAAGCACCATAGTAGAGCCATAGCTTTAGCAGCTGAACGCAGATGGCTGATAAATATATAACCCGTTTCTACGCAGTCTGCAATAGTCCCGATGGTTCCTGGTATGCGAATTTCGGACAACAAGCATACCGCCAACATTTGGCTAAGAAGTAACCGGTATTAAGCATGGCTCCGAAATGCTCAGTTGGACAAGCGGCTGACATTTTTTCCTTCAGAAATCAGCAGGAAAAATATTTCCGTGGCACATACGGTGGTAGAATGCGTAGATGTAAAGCTTATTAAATATTTAATTATCAGTTTTTAGGACATGGTAGCAAAATTCCTCCTTTGTACTGTAGATGATATAAATCGCTTAACTAAGCATTTTGCTCATCACTCGAGCGATGCATTTTGAAATGTACTTACTAGGTAGTTCCATCTGACACCCATTAAGACTACTAGTCGGCTCACCGGATTCGTGGACCTTATTGGTGTAGACGGCACCAACTTGTGAGTAGGTTTGGTGAGTCAGTCATGGATAAGGGCAGTCACTTGATAAAATAGGCCAGCAGAATAATAGCAAGATAATCATCCGCGAAACTTGAATGAATTGCTATTCCAACTCAAGAAATAAAAACGTTCGAACATTAAAAGGCATGTATTGGAAGAAGTTCATTTTAACTACACCAGCTAAGAACCAATTTTGGTTACAGCAGTTAACTCATAATCCATTGTGCTTAAAGTGCATACCGACAGCAAGTACAACAGCTTGATCGCCAGCTTCCTTTGCTTAGTCGACGTCACCTCTGTGCATAGCTCTTCGGAAGGCACTTAAACGGAACGACCGAAACATTAGCGCGAATTATAGCTGTGCCGTTGTTATAACAGCACCCTCGCTCGCCTTTCAGCACTGCTCTGAAGGTTAATCATGGCTGCATGTTGCAGGTTACACGAAGGGCCGCGCTCATGGTCACGAAGGAAACTCCAAGAAAATGCGTCGGTATTAGCGTGTTGCCTACCTGGCCCGTGTCTGTTTACGAAGTCGTATTTCTGCGACAAATCTTACCAGCTCGCGATTTGGCCTTCAGAGTCCCTGTCTTTTGGCAGCCGTTGGAGGAACTGATGGTCGGTACGTGTCATAAATCTCCGTCAAAGCCCATAATGCGGATTCTGCTTCATGATGAACACAATCTCCAACCTTTACTTTCTAGTTATGCAATAATTCCTTTCTCTCGAATTGATGACCATGCTATCTTAGAATACTACTCTCTCCACATCAGCTGGCCCTTTCTGAGACGAAACGGCTCCAATTGCCTAATCTCTTGTATCCGTGTTCATGATGACCTTTTTAACCGAGGGTAATAAGTCAGGGTACATTGGCAAAGCGACTCACAGAGCCAGCTAAATGCTTCCTGACATTCTGCTGTGTTCAAAGGTTCGATTCTGTTGTAGTATTTCATTAATGGGAGCGACAATGGTAGAAAGGCCTAGGATGAATCACTGGGAATTTGAAGCCAGTCCAAAAATAGGTAGTTGATCCGTGCATGTTGGGGTTGGCCAGGATTTTATTTGCTCCATCTTATGGGGATCTGTCCAGATGCCCGACCCATAATGTTGTCTCCCAAATACACTGGTTTTTCTGTAATACGTAACAATTCGATGGTCTGAGTTTGAGACCTACCTCTATCAGACTGTTCAGTACTTAGGCCAAGTTGTTCAATGAATCTAGCTTTGCTTTCCTATGCACGATAGCACAGTCTAAGTACACGAGGCTTCTCCTGGAATTAGTCCATGCGATACCATCTGCATTAAATGCAAGATGGAATAACCAGGATAAAAATCTAAGGCTTGCTAGTTCCCGTGGGATAGTTTGTGTGAATCACACAAGTTCAAATGTGTTGATACTAAAATGAGGCGCGTATATATGAACTAACTGTAATATGTAATTTCGTACACAGGTAAGTCCGGTCACCCCGATTTCGTGTGAGTTAGGGATCACTATGTTTGTCGCCGTTTGGTCGTCGCTCCATGAACAGGATTTAAATCTATTAATGCAGATGGTATACTGCATCGTCCAGTCGATCATAAAAGTGGGTTGCATGGTCGCAAAAACGACAGAAGTCGAAAGAGCGTTCCACGACGGACAAAGTCCAATGGAAAAATAATGGTGGTGGCATTCCAGCCGATTGCATTGCGTAACCAGTTCCAGCTGTGACGTCTCCGTTTTGCGTTGCGGCTAAGTTCTAGAATACAGCTGCAAGTGTGACCGGGGTTTTTTCAAGAGTTGGTATGACTATATGAGATAGGCCCACATACGACGATAATTCACGCTGTACACTGCTAGCGTTTTCAGTCGCAGATCGTATGGCAGGTGGAACATCCCGCCACATTTTTGTTTCCCCTTCGCCGAGCGCTCTCCAGTGTAACCAGATCGTTTTTAAAAAGGATTGCCAAAGTTGAATCGCGTACTCCACCTGGGGCCTCACATACGCATTGAGCATTTTGGAGGAGATGCAGGGATCGAACAGCCCGAACGCCCTCCGTAAGAGACCAAGATGTTGGTTCGTGGTTCTAGAGACCTTTAACGACCGCGTAGCATTGCCGAGGTCGTCTTGCATCACCACTCCAAGGTCGTGATCCTGACACCGTCTTCAATATGTGGTCTTCAGGCTTTTAGGCGCTGGTGGACTTGTGGTGTACAGGTAGAGTTTTACATTTGTCCGCGTTAAATGAAAGTGGCCTAGTCTTTGATCATTCGATATCATTGTCCAAAGCTCGTTGAAATAGGTCATGATCTTCCTGAAAAGCGGTCATCCGTCATGTCTTGGTGTAATTGGCAAAAGCAGGAAATTCAACTCAGTGACACGCATGAAGTCACTAATGAATGCCAAGAATAAGTGCGGCCCCAACACGGACCCTTGTGAAACACCTGAAGCTTCCGCCGAAGAAGAAACTTTCCCCCGTATCCAATAACATGGCTTCCAACTCCGTATATGTTCAGATTTTGGAGAAGAATGCGGTGATCTAAGCGGTCTAAGGCTTCAGCAAATTCAAAATAGATGACCACAATACCGGTCCCGCTATCAACTGCATTGGTCCGTCTGCATGTGCAATCACGAGATGGGTAGCACATGAGAAATGCTAATGGAATTCGTGTTGCGCTGGCGCTATGATGCTAGATCTTGTTAACTGATCCACTAGTGCCTCCACTATGATTGACTCCACCACCTTTGACAATACTTGGAGGAGAATCACTGGACGATAATTGGCAGGTTCCGAATGGCTACTGTTGTGTGCCTGGTACAGCCAGTCGCGTCAAGAGAAAGAAAACACATCGGCTGTGCACACAAGCATTGTATTCGCAAGCCTCAGGCAAAGTACAACTAACTGTGATTTTAAAAACGCACCTGCCTACGCGATCGTTTGCTTGATCGACTACACTGCGGTAGGCGATTCCATTAGCTCCAGCTGTCAACCCTATCATAACATGGCGACAGAGGAGAAGCAGCTGACGCGCCGGACCCCGCTCGCTTTTGGTGGACAGCCGTTGATCCCGCTGCCGCCTGCTCTACAGATGACGGAAAGCACGCTGCTAACAACTGGAGAATGTGGAAAGTGAAGTGGACTGATTTCGTCAGGCTGACTCAGTTGGATTTCTAGCCGATGCCTTACCAGCTTGCTATGTTCAGACTAGCTATTGACGACAAAGCCAGACGAGTACTTGAGATTCTGGATCGCGGTGATGCGGAAGAACAGGAGCCGGACATTTCGGAGATAACCAAGAGATTTGGAGATTATTGCGAGGGTCAGGCAAATGAAACCTACCAAAGATATCTGCTTTTGGTCGCAACCGCTTACCGAATGAGTTAGTCGAGACCTACATTACAGAAATGAAAACTTTGGCGTGAACATGCAACTTCTGTAACTGCATGCAGGACTCTCTGGTACGCGACCACGTCGTGTGTGACTGACATCCGTGCTCTTCCTTCGGTTAAAAGTAAATTGGTACACATCAGATCTTTTGCCCGGAATGATACTGAGTCGCTGAATTTGGGGGCGTGTACGTGTGGAATGTCTTCGTTGGTG